TTTCCTTCTGGATGCATATGATCTGGTTTTCCCATTTCACCATTGTCCTCTTTCAGAACTGTGAGCACCCGGAGTTGTGTGGAGTTGAGCAACCTCTAAATTTTGGAAACTAAATGAAATAAATTTCCTCCCAAGCTACTGAGAAGAAAAAGGACTAAGGTTAGCAGCCATTCACAGATTTGCTTGCCTTGTTCAACCCTTGCGATTCTCAAGTTAACTTATTAAACTAACATAGGTTAGTCTCAGCACAGGTAACCGAGGCTAACAAATCTGCTCATTTGGTAGTCTTGAGGGTTAAAGCAGGCGCGAGCCGGATTAGTGCCTGGATGGAAAACTACCAGGAAATTCCAGGACCGCGAATTCATAGATTGTGAAGATAAAAAAATATTCTGAAAGAAAATACAGGTAGTTCTCGACTTGCAAAGGTGTGTTTATTGGCCGTTCAAAGTTACAACGGCACTGAAAAAGCGACTTAGGATCATTTTTCACCCTTACGACCTTTGTGGCATCCTCATCACAATTCAGAGGCTTGGCAACTGGCTGGTATTTATGATGGTCGCAGTGTCCTGGGCTCATGTGATTGTGCTTTGAGACCTTCTGACAAGCAAAGTCAGTGGGAGAAGCCAGATTCACTTAACAACTGTGTTACTAACTTAACAACTGCAGTGACTCACTTAACAAACGGGGCAAAATGGGGCAAATCCCTCACTTAGCAACTGAAATGTTGGGCTCCATCGTGGTCGTATGTCGAGGAGCTACCTGCAATGACTCAGCACTTATTAAAGCATTTGCCAAGAAACTGCACGATTGAGTTCATGTGGTTAGTAGAACGCTCTGCCAGCCCTTTAGGGCCTCTATATTTGTGTAACACTGATAAGTTCCAAGTCGGCAGGGCTTTTGTTTGCAAATGCTGCCACCACCACCGTGTAGAATGGGGGAGCTTAGAAAAACACCGGAAGGGAGAATGGAATGCCAGCCATTAACTTCTGAAAAGCACAGAAGGAGGAAAATGTGGGAGGAAAGAAATCTGGGGGGGGGGAGGGGGGAAGAAAAGGTTGGTCCCCACTCATTTCTAATCCTGAGAAATCTATTTACAACCCACGTGGATCTCCATACAGATAAACT